TTCACTTGCTTCACTGTTGTTGTTTTTAAGTTTGTTTTGGAAATAACAAAAAAAAGATATTTATTGGCCAAGAAGTTGGTGCTGCTAAGACCGAGAGATAAAAAGAGTCGGACAGATGGACACAGAGAACCAGAGGGCAGCGTGGGACCTTCTCTTGCCATGGCCTTAGGTCCTGAGGGAAGGCTCAGGCCTGGGTTTCTGGACTGTGAAGGGGGCCCCTGGTGGTAGGGGGCAGGAGGCAGCTAGAGTGAGCCATTCACGCTGGGTGCCCAGCTAGAGCCTTGAGCTGCCCCCTGGGCATCACTGACTAGAGGGAGGCAGCAGCTGCCAGAGCTGCCTAGGCTTTAGGAGGCAAAACAAGAGGGGCCGGGAGATCCGAAGGACCAAAGGGTGCAGCTTTGGGCTGGGCTGGGTGCTGGCCCAGGGAAATGGGGTGGGGGTGGGCTGGGTAAGACCTGGACCCCTGATGCCCTTAAGACCACCCCAGTCTACCTCGGTGCTGGCCAGAAAACCTATTGGCTACCTCTCCCGCCATCCCAGACTGTGGGCAGGGGGATGGGGAGGGAGTGGGTCTGGGGCTAGGACCCCCTCCATAATTTCCTCCAGATGGGGCAATACCCAAGGAGGGGTTGTCTTCCCTGCCATGGAGGGGGAATCCCCAGCCCAGGCCCTAGGCCCTTCGGCAGGGAAGGGATCCTCAGAAAGGAGGGTCCCAGGAGCAGCCCCTGCCCTCAGCCCCCACAGACACACCCCAATCTGAAAGCCATGCGTGTCCATGTATATAGGAACTATGTACAGAGACCGGAGAAGCCCCACTCCATCCCCCGGGAAAAAAAAAGAAAACTAGACAGAAACTCATCTATATATTCTGTATCTGGAGTTCCGTTTTGAATATTAACTGTGTTATTTTTATACACTTTTTAAGCCTTAACTCACCATTGATTTACCAGTTTAACGTTTCCTGGGGTTTCTTTTCCCACTGCGTTCTCTGCCCCCACCCCCACCCCTTTGTTTGACTTGCGTCGTCTGATACTCAGTATTGTAGCTTTTGTCCGCATGTTACTACCCTGTAAATACGCTGTTATACATACTGTTAACACCCTTTGCTTTTTCTATGGGACCTCCAGGCCACCGTATTTAGAACTAGTTACCTTATTAAAAAAGAGAAAACAGTCTTTTGGCTTCTCAGTCTGCATCTTGGTGGCAGGGAGGTGAGGGCAGGCGCCCCTCAACGCTTCAGGAAAGAAGTTTGCATTATATTTAAGATAAGGGGTGGGAGTAAAAAAATCAAATGTGGGGGAAAACACTAAAGGGGGCAAGACACAAAGGAATTCTAAACCTTCTGCTCTGTATTTCTCTGTTGTGAATAAACCATACCTGCACCCGGGTGGCGGTGGTGTGTGGCGTGCTCTGTGTGAGGGCGGGGCTGGGGGGCACCTTTCTACTGCTCCTCTCCCCTCCCCCACCCCCCAGACTCAGGCAAGAAGGAAATGGTGTTGATTACCTCTCAACTCCCTATGAAGTGGGCAGCCAACCAAGAGAGGTATTTTGCTGAGGATCATGCTGCCATTAAGGGACATAAATTTGACCTAGGTTTGTCTAGTTTTGAAGATTTTTTAGATGTATGGGGTCCACCAATGAGGGGTCCACTGCCACTTCTCCCAGAGGGGCAGCCGCATCCGGTTACCCCACCCCTCTTTGGGGGACCATCTTGAGTGCCCTGATTTGTGGAAGCTGTTCCAGTGATTGCAGGGACCAAGAAGACCCTTCACATATGTTTGCCCTATAGAGGTTCTGATTGCCTAGGAGGGAAATGCAGGAATTAATTCCCCCAAAATTGATCAAGGAGGGCCCTGTACTAGGCATTATGGGAGAGAAGTGACTCAGCCATGAGTCACCATGGAGCTCACTCTGAGCCCAATGCAAATAAGGATTTATTGGCTTACACAAGGACATTACAGGGATAGGTTGGGGTCAGGGCTCAATGACGTGTTTCTCCACTTGGCTTTGTTCCCAATCAACTTTACCCTTGGACTCCTGTGGAGTTGGCAGCTCCAGCCTCACAGTCCCCAGGTTCCCAGCAGCCAAGCCTCTGTCTCTCCCAGAAGTTCCAACAGAAGTCTAATTGGGCCTTCCTGGTTTGAACTGGGTCAGGTACCATCCCTGAACTAGTCGCGTGACCAGAATGTCTGTAGTTGATCGGCTCAGGCCTAGAGCCTGTGCTTTAAGCCTGGGGCAGAGCGTGAGACCGCTGTCTAAAGCACATCTTCCCAGGAGGAAGCCAGAGCGTTAGCATCAGAAGGGGAGATGGATGAGTAGTCAAGAACATGTTTTAAGTAACCTCACAGGACTCCTCTCTTTCTCTGAAATTGACCTCCCTCAGCCTGCTACATGGTGAAGGGTGGGCCATGGCTGTATTTTGTCACGTGACGTTATCTCAGCCACAGCTGGTTGGCCAGGGGTGGCCACCTGACTCAGTGACGATTCCTAGACCAGTGGTGTGTACAGTTAAGCCCTCACCTAATGTCCTGATGGGTCTGTGACTTTAAGCGAAACGACGTATAATGAAACCAATTTTACCACAGACTCATATAAACAAGAGTTTAGTTCCTACCACATCTCATCAACGTTGTAAGGAAATGACATTGAATGAAATGTTATTGGGGGACCTGCTGTGCTAGCAGTGGGCTGCGCACACCCCTTTTCCATTCTATAGTCAGTGGGGGTTTGGAAATCGGCCACAGTGGGATTTACATGGTGGTGTAAATCCCTACAGATTGGGGCTTGCTTTTTCCTCAAAGGGCTGGTTGCCAAACATTTACCAGCACACCACTGGCTGAATCTCCGATCAGATTCTCCATTCCACGAATTAAGAACAAGTGAGGAGGTGGTGGGCACCTGAACGGGCGAACCCCGTGGACTAGGGGTCGGGGTGGCTGTGTTATGCAGAAGGAGGCAGGGATGGCCCGAGGAGACCGGGAGCCAGTAGCAACCTCAGTCTCTACCTTCTGGCCAAGTTTAATTTCCTGTTTGTTCTCACATCAATGAATTTAATTGCTACTGGTGTAACATCGGGTAAGTACTTAATCTTTCTGTGCTGGTTTTCTCATACTTAAAATGAGGGATATACTAGGAACCAACTTAAAGGGTGGGTGTGAGGATTAAATGAATCAATACACGTCTAATGCTTAGAACTGTGCAGGGAACTTCATAGCCAATAGATGGTAGTTGCTATAATTTGATGTAGCCCTGGTGGAGCTGTGTCTCTTCTGATCAATGGATAGCTGAGGATGGAAATTTCTGGAGGCAGCATCTGAGCTGATAGCAGGGTGAGGCGTCTAGGATAGGTGAAGACTGCAGACAGCAGTGACACTCAGGGCAATGGGAGTCTGAATTTCACCTGCTTGCCCAGAAGCTCTCGGGAGCGTCCATTGTCCCTGAGGGCCCCAGCATACATGTTGAGGACAGTGTAGATGGCCAGGGAAGTAGCTGCAGAAGGAACTTCAGCCCCTTTGTTATTCCTGCTTCAGCCCAGTCCCCTCTACTGTCCCCATCCCCACCTTGGGCCTCTGCATATGACAAGGAGGGAGCTGTTTCCAAGAAGTTGTTCATTGTTCCACCTTGTAGCTGCCTTGACCCCTCCCCCTCTGCAGGAAGGTCTTCACCCCACAGCATGAGGCTGCCTGAGCCCAGCACCTAGAACCCCCTGACTGTGTCATCATTTTCTCTTTAAAACAGAAAACGACTGTTCTTTGGTGAATTCTTTGCACTCCGTGAACCTGTTGGAGAAGGGGCAGGTAAGGAGGGGGAAGGCAAGTTATGTTTTCTGGGGCACCACACCCCTGCAGGGAGGGCAACTGGCACCTCTACTTTACATGTGAGAAAACTGAGACCCAGCAAAGGTTAGGAACTTGTCCATAGTCACACACACAGAAGAACAGCTGAATCCCACCCAGGTCTTACCTGCTCATGCTCAGGTCTCTCTTTCCCTAGGGTCATGTGTGTGGCCCTTAGTGAATGTTCTAGGGTAAGATGGGAATCATAGTCCCAGAGGAAGGGATGTGCCAGATCATGGTCTAACCTGTTCTTAGGCACACTTGGCCTGTTCTTATCTTTGATCCAGTGGCCAAAAGGCCTTCTGGGTTTTCCTTATCTAGTTTAGGTAAGAGATACTAGGGAACCTTGAAATGCTTTTGAGAGGGGAGGTATCTTTTATTCCATATCATCAGTAACTGGAACTTGCTTGTAAATGTTACTAGATTATATACACCATCAGGACTGGTTTATAGCTGGAATTGCTATCCTACCTGGGGACAGTGGAGGCTGTTAAAAGTGCAAGTCTTTGAGAACACTACATAATGGACTCAGGAGACCTGAAGTGAAATACCACCCTCTCAGGGCCTCAGTGTTCCCAGCTGTCAGACAATAGCTCACGGGCTTCCAGTGGTTACCTTTCCTGTCACCTTGGCTCTGGGACCACCTTTTCTGGAGGACCTGATGACTTCATGCTCCTATTTGGAGCCTCTGTTTTTCCCTGTTGAAGATGAAGAGGCTGGACTGCAGCCATGGATGAAGAAAAGTCTCTCCTAGATACTGTGGCCAAACAGACTTATGAGCCCCAGAACAAGGAAATGTCATTTTTGTTAACTTTGACTCTTCAGGAAAAAGGGCCATAAAGACACTGTTGGAATAACTTATTTTATTATGATGTCAACAAAAGAACTCGCAGCATATAGAAAAGTCTCATAAGAATTTATTTGCACCCTGGCATACGGCTCAGTCGGTTGGGGAACCTCCTAGGAGGTTTGCCATGCACCAGGTGGTTGCCAGTTCAATTCCCAGTCAAGGCACATGCCCAAGTTGTGCGATCAAGCCCTGGTAGGGGGCATGTAGGAGGCAGCTGATCAATGTTGCACCATTGATGTTTCTCTCCCTCTCTCTCTAAAAATCAATAAACTATTCTTTAAAAAACAAAACAAAAATAGATGAGTGGGCAACCATCCCAGTAAACACATTAAAAAAAAAAAAAAAAAAAACCTGGCCAGTGTGGCTCAGTGGTTAATCATTGGCTTAGGATCCAGGAGATCGAGGTTTGATTCCCCATCAGGGCACATGCCCTGGGGTTTCGGGATGGATCTCCAGTAGGGGGCGTGCAGGAGGCAGCCGATCAATGACTCTCTCATCGTTGATGTTTCTCTCTTACCCCCTTTCCTCTATCTGGAATCAATGAACATATATTAAAAAAAAAAAAAGCTTATTTGAGCCAAATTTTGAGGTCATGCCTGGAAGCAAAATCTCAAAGGATTGAGAAAATGCTCTGGAGAAAAGCAGTTCTTCAGTTCTTTTTATGCATCTAGAATTAGAGGAGAAAACATAAGGAGGGAGGGTACATGCAATCCATCGGTGGTGGATTACAAAGCAAAGCAGGGAAATCTCTATGGTTAAAAAGCAAAATGGAGAAAGCATAGCTTTGGTGGGTACAGGATAGTTAGTAATTAACATTTACAACACACAGACATGGTATTCAGGGAAACAATAACAATGAGGGGTTCTGGTGGTCTTGTGCTCTGCTGCTTGTGGTTGTGCCCTCGAGGGGTCTAGAAAAGGAGATCACTCTGCCATTTCAAAAGTATGTTACCCTAGATGCATAAGAACAGTGGACAGGGCTCACTTGAGGTAAAGAGCGACCTTTGCTAAGGATGCTCTAAGCCCGGGACGAGACTACCCACTATGGCCTGCCCAGTGAGGAATTTGTGATCAGACCTTCCTGTGTGATTGCTGAGCTTGTCAGGCCTGCCATGTGGGCCCCTGAACTTCTCTCAGGTTTATTTCATAGCCCCTTTTTCATTCATAATAATATTACTTAAATATGTACAAACATATTATTTAAATATGCTTGAGGGTGGGGGAGGTGACAGGTCAGAGCCAAGGAACTGGATGCCACTGGCATCCAGTCTCCCCATTAAAAGGGGGGAGGGGGACTTTACATCCCCACAGGTGGCATCGACTGGGTTAGGTAAGGTCAGAGGTGAAAGGTCTGTGTGCCTCAGTCCCCATCAAAAGTGAAGGAAAGGAGATCTTACAAGTGAAAAGCTCCCGACCTTTTTGTAATGCAAGTGTCCCATTTAAGCTGATTGCCAAGGCAGTCACTTCAAAGAGAGCTGTCTCCAATGAACACGTTGCCAGCCACGCGACTAGAGAGCGAGGCCGCATCCCCCACTGAGGAGCCTTTGTTTTAGAGATCTTGGTTGATTTCAATACCTAACCACTTGGGCTACTTGTTTTTTCTCTTCCTGAGCTTTAAATACTTGCTGTTATATTTTGAATTCACCCATAGAGTGAGTCCGCGGAAGGCCCAGAACCCCGCTCTCCATCCCAATAAAGGCGGGACTCCAGGCCTGCGCGCTCTGCACCGGAGACCCTGCAGTGTGGCTCCTGGTGCGCTGTGTAACTCCCAGGTCCCGTAAGCAATAAGCCTGTCTTCTCTTCGGCGTCGTGACGGCTTCTGCTGAAGAACCACATGCCCAGGTCCAACCGCAACATGGTCTGTTCATAGGCCGGGCCCAGCACAAAACACTGCGGAGGGCCAGGGCGCCCTCCCCCCACCTCCCGTCTGGGCACCCGCAGGAGGTGGTAGAGACGTTTTCACCCCATCTCTCCCGGTCCTCCAAAGCGCCATGCCGCTTCCAGAAGGGACCACAATGGCTGCGGGGTCTCTCCTCGCTGTCCCGCCCACTCCGCACCCCCCCAGCGCCCAGGTGTCCCGCGGGTGGGGCGAGGCCCGGCGCTGGCTCCTAGTTCCGCACCACGGCGTACTCCTTGGGCGCCCAGAGCAGCCGCGGGTGGCGGATCTCGGCTCGCCGGCCTATTTCCGGGGACCAGCAGAACTCCGGCGACAGCACCTTGGCGGGCTTGTGCAGCCAGAAGTACTTGTTGAGGTGGCTCTCGTCGTGCCAGCGCGCCTCGAGGCCGCGCTCGCGGTCCTGCCG